TAAAGCTGTTCAATACCACAGACAATACTGCTACCCTTCAAAAAGATTTTGACTATGTATCAGAATGGTCAAGCAAATGGCAACTTCAAATCTCAACAAATAAATGCTCTGTCTTACATATTGGAAAAAAAATCAGAAAATAAAATACAAGCTGAATAGTCAAGACCTTGTTGATGATCCAAGCTCTGTAAAGGATCTTGGAATATTCATCTCTAATGATCTAAGTGCTAGAGCCCACTGTAACTACATAGCCAAAAAGGCATTAAGAGTTGTTAACCTACGTAGCTTTTTCTCTGATAACATCACACTACTAACTAGAGCATACAAAACATTTGCTAGACTAATACTCGAATACAGCTCCTCAGTCTGAAACCCACATTACGTATCTGATATTAGCAGAATTGAGAAAATCCAGAAATATTTCACAAGAGTTCTCCACTCCTCTACCCATTGTAGAATACCTTATGCCACCAGACTCGAAATTGTAGACCTAGAAAACCTTGAATTACGACATCTTCAGTCTGATCTAAGTATGGTATATAAAATCATACATTGCAATGACTTACCTGTCAATGAATACTTCAGCTTCAACCATAACAACACGAGCACACAACAGATACAAACTCAAGGTTAATCGTACCAAACTTGATTGCAGGAAATACGACTTCAGCAAGAGAGTGGTCAATGTCTGGAATCCTCTACCTGACTCTGTGGTTTCTTCCCCAAACCCCCAAAACTTTAACCTCAGACTGTGTACTATTGACCTCATCCCTTTTTTAAGAGATCTATAGGGGGCGTGCATTAGCGCAACAACGTGCCTACCGTCCCTGTCCTATTGTTTCTTTTTATTTTTCTTATATGTACCCATTTCATGTATTCATAACTATGTATATAGTTATACCTATTCTCTTGTAAGCGATTGACAAATCAAATAAATAAATAAAAATAAACTATAAGGCGGCAGCACAAGATGGCTTCAGCCAGGTTTGCTTCAGAGTTGGCATAGTAAGAGAATCTGGCTTCTTTGACTTTTACTTGTCAGAGACGGTCGCAAAAGGTGATCACACACGACTCGAGATACTGCAGCTGTCATAAATATGAACCAGTTGCCAAATGTCTACATTTTGATCACGTGATCATGGAGTTGCTTCAATGGTTGTTAAGTGTGAAAAATCAAGTCATAAGTCACTTTTTTCAGTGCTGTTGTAACTTCAGTCACTAAATGAACTGTTGTAGGTCAAGAGCTAACTGTACTATACAAGGTTCACAATATAGTCAACATTATAAACTCTACAGCTCCTGCAGCATAATCGAGTTTGAGAAATGTATTATACAATTCTTTGTTTGCAAAGTTCCATCGTTTAAGGCTGCAATTCTTACACAATTACTGCAATTGGTAATAACTGGTTATGCTAGAACTTTTTTCTAAATAAACTACATAAGAACAGTCCCAGAGTATTTAAAAGGCAACTCTTAACTGTTAGCTGTTTGGCTTGGTAGATTTGATTTATTATAAGGAGAACAGAAAGCAATGTTGTGTTCCTTGTATTTAAAAGGTACTTACACTTAGTAATAATCAAGCATGTCATAAATTACTGTATTATATCCAAGGAAAATGGCCTGCATGCACTTTTAATTTACTAATTCTCAATGATGGGAAATAAGCAATTAAGATACTTGCCAAATTAAAAACACAATTAACAAGATTTTTAAATCTTTCAAACCCTTTCACTTCTGCCAAATCTTTAGCAATTGTCTGAGACTGGAATCCTTGTTTCTCCAAGAACAAATCCGCAAAATTTTCTTTACCAAGACTTATTAAAATGAATGAACACACTAGCATAAGAATGCCAGCAAGTGAACTAATTTGAAATATACATCAATGTCTACAATACAGCAGAGATTTTTTAAAAAGAATTTATTCACAGCCTTACTGAGTGCTGGAGGGAAGAGTTCCATTTTCACTGATAAGGGGGGGAATTTGCCTCTGGCTACTTACATGACAGATGTTTTAATCTTTTGGCTAGTTTCCCTGAGGTCTTCCTAGCCTTGTAGAGGGAAATCTAAATATTCAAGTGATTCCGAAGCCAAGGTCACAGATTACAGCTGCTAGCTTTCTGCCTCGCCTTGCAAAACTTTCTATATACCTTTTAATCTAGTTTGTTCTTATATATGCATTTTTTCCTAATACACTCAACTGTCCAAAGACAGTATTAGACATTTATATACATTTCTATAGATCCATACAGGTTGTGAATTGAATACGCCCGACTTAAAATATTTAAGCTGACCGTTTTTTTCTACCTTTCCTCAAAGGTAAAAAAAAATAAATGAACATTTGAACGGTGTGGTTGTATATTTACCTTCTTCCAGACGTGATGAATACTGATACAAAAAATAGAGATTCACCAGGTATAGAAAGCCTGTCCCTGGGCCAACAGGGAAATAAAATGTGGCAGTTATTGGCCTCCAGATCTGTTCAGACAAAAACAGCAGATATGTAAACTAGTATTATTTGAGAACTTGTTTAAACAATACCGAAGTTAGTTGTAGCATCAGTGATTGGTAAGATAGTATTGTACTACATACTAGCAAGGTTAGATCTCTAATTATCTGATGGATTATTGGAGGTGGAAAGCTCCCACCCCATCATCCCGTGAGAATATTGAGCCCACATCAGTGTCAGTCTGATGGGTCATAGATGCCAGGATTCAACAGTGCTGACCAGAAACTATTGAGCCAAAATTCAATGCTTTCCAGCAGAGATCTTGGCAACTTTAAGACTTGTGGACTCCAATTCTCAGGATTCTGGAGAATCCTGCTGAGGAATCCTGGGAGTTGAAGTCCACAAGTCTTAAAGTTGCCAAGCTTGGACATCCTTGCTTGACTGGGAAAGGTCTAAAAAAAACTTTTGATTCATAAACTCTCTTCTATCTTTTGGTATAGTTGTAAGAACAATTTCAGACACTTTTCTTTTTCTGTTAATAAGTGTTTTCTCCACCAACAATAAACTCATCCCTCATGGAACACACAAAGATGGAGAGAGTGGAAGCTCTACAAGAAAATACCATCAAGCTTCAATAAGGGTCACAATTGGGGGGCGGGGAGGCTTTAAGAAAAAAAATATCTTTAAAGTGATTTAATAAGATTTGGACATGCTGTCTGGTCATAAAATGATGGAAGACAGAAAAGGACACTCTTGGAAAAGACAATGGATGGTTGACAGCACAGAGGACATCCCAAACATTCAACAGGCTAACACTATTACAAGTGATTTGGGCACCCTTGTATTGGTTCTGGATGATTGGCTGTGGATTTAGGGAAGAAAGCAGATCGATATACACTGTACTGTAAGATAACACAGGAGCACAAGCACCACCTGAGGCTTCACTCAGAGTCCATAGATTTTATAACTGGATGATTGCTTTCTGCATGCTGTTTACTATGATTGCCATTAACTGCCTGTCACATGTGAACTTTAGCAATCCTCCACCTGTTATAGGGACTTCCCTGTCTGTCACCTGTTAAAAATAGCCCAGCTAACCAAGCAAATGGCAGCCACTACATGAATAGCCTTCCTGCAAGAGGCAAGCCATGTTTCATTTGGACTAGGAATCCCCTAACAGCACAACCCTTGGATGCACTGGAGGATAATGTTCCTTATCCAAAGCCAATATGGACAATGGCTGCACCAGCAGAGGTTGAGCTACAGTCAAATATGTTTAGAAGGCATCCTATCAAGTAAGAGCATGTCATAAAGCATTTAGTTTCCTATCTAGATAATTGCTGCATCTCTGTGGTAAAAGAATGATATATCTACCTCAATTCCACGTGTTGGTATTCTCAAAGCAAAGAACAGGGAAGGAAATAAACCCGCAATCTGGGTGTCTAAGTTACTGCATGTCTCTCAAAATAAAACATCTACAAAGAAGCCCATTTCTCCTCCAATTTTGAGAAATATAGTCTTGCATCAAACAACCCATCTTATCACTATATTCCACTTTGCAATCCTCTCAGGTTGCACCCAAATGCAAAGGAATTGGCATACCAAAATGCTGAAATCTGCCTTCTCTGCTCCAGCCTCTGCTTTTCTTAGCATACCAACCCAGGTGGCAATGGGAAAAGATAGAAAATCAGATAAAAAAACTGATTTATCACACAACTTTAATCCCTATCATATTTTCCCTTTCTTCATAAAATGGAACATTCCTTCATATTTTCCTGCAGAGAACATACGTAGTTCAAGATTGAAGCAGTGGGCTGTAAATTATTCAGCTAATGAAATGTATGTAAATGAAAAACCAAGTTTAGAGAATTCTTATAACCTAATATGTTTATTATCTCTTTTCCTAAACCCTGCGATCCATGTCTAATTGTAAGGAACAATGAGGGGAAAGCAATTCCTTATAGCTAAGCACATTAAAAATCTTCCTTAGAAACTCATTTTGTTCAGCTAAAGCAAATATTGAACAAAAGAATCAAATTTTCCACAATAGTGATTTAAATAACTCTAGCTTCTTCAAAAAAAAAAAAAGACTAACCAACCATTTCCAACTTAAATTACTCCATTTTTTTTCACTATATTGGTACCTATCAAAATTCCAGAGACCCCTCTGTATGTTAATGATCGTTTATGTTCTTGGCACTAAAAATATAGCCCTGCAACAAGACAAAAGGGCAAAAATGAAGTCTGTGACTAAAGCAAACAATCCAGGTGATCTCTCATGCTATTTATTTATTCTGTATTCCTCCTATTTCTGGTTATTTGTGTTTTGCTAGCAATGGCCATAAATTAAAGCAGCTCAACTGTTTCCATGATTACTGAAAAAGGAAATACCTCCCACACGTCCACTCTCAAAAAAAAGGCCTTATTTTGTTCCACGAGTGACATGACACATACTTTTTCACACTTCTTACCAAGCGAATCAGGGATGATGAAAAAGAAAACTGAACCTCTCAAGAAAATGGCTCTCAGCAGCCAATACAAAATAACAATTGTATGAGCTTGTGTAGTTTAGTATTTGCCCAGCGCTAGTTACAATTTTTCTCAGTCCTCTGCTATCTGCCTCTTCCTGCTGAGACCAGGCAGTATGCAAATTTCCCCACTTTCAGTTTCTGAGCTAATTTACAAAGCACTTCACTTTTGATCAGTTTTCAACTCTTATGCAAAGCTCAGTGACGTGATAGTACCATAAATAAGTTATGATTAAAAGTTTGTATACCATGTTCAGCCAACAGCATGCAAGTAAACAGCTAAGGCTTGGAATGACCCCTAGTTTCACATGACTAAGCCTTCTGACCAGAATGGCATCCATACATAGCAAAGCACATTGGGGTTGGTCAGTATTTGGATGGGAAACCACAATGGAAACCCCCCATTCATACATCCATACAGGTATATATACATATTTTTTTCACAATAAATAAACCGGAAACTGAATCCCACTGGTGTAGCCTAGATCAGGGATCCCCAAGCTTGGCAACTTTAAGCCTGGCGGACTTCAGCTAGGGAATTCTGGGAGTTGAAGGTTTCCAGGCTTAAAGTTGCCAAGGTTGGAGACCCCTGCCCTATTCAGCCATATTGGCTGAAATTAACTCTAACCAGAATCTTAGGCTTGGATATATTAAACAAAGGCCTAGCTCTCTGGAGAATCCTGGGGAAAGTAGTAGTAGGGAAGAAGAGGGTGACCAGCAGCACAGTGGATCGACTTAGTTACTACACCATCAGAAGACCTGAGAAACCAGGTTAGGGACAGATCATCATGGACAAGATCTGTGTGGTCATCAGAAGTCATCAGAATGACTTGATGGCCCTGATCAGTCAATTAATCATTTTTCTGAAAGATATTTCTTTATCACACAAGTAAGCATCCCTTGCTTAGGTAAGCACCATTCAATTTCCAAGAAGAAGAAAAAAAGTGTTTGCTTTATAAATGTCAAGTTACGGTGCCTCCCACCCAAACCAATAAGGGCACTTCCACCATAGCTTTAAAAAGTACACAAGTCTGGACTGGCATTCTCCGTAACTTTCCACCACCGACTACAATTCCCAACACACCCAGCGCAGCATTTGCTTCTAAGGGCTATCGGCACGAAGCGCGCCGTGCATGCCGGGAGCCGTAGTCCAGCTCGCCCACCTGGAAGCGGTTGATGAAGGCGTCCGGCCACAGGAAGAGGTAAACGGGGCTGATCAGGCCTAGCTTGCCGAAGAGGGGCACCGCGATGGCAGCTGCAAACCAGTAGCGGGTAATAAGCGGGATGGTCCGGAACCAGTCCCCGAGGTCCGACATCTCCCCTTCGCCACGGGTGAGGCCTGGACGCCGGGCCTCGCGCTCCTCTTTCCCGCCGGTGCTTCTTTTCTCAGCCAAAGAGCCGAGCGTCGAGAAGGGGCTGAGACCTGGCCGGTGGGTGGAGCCCGCCTTCTTCCGACGTGGCCACACCGAATTCGGCCAAACGGCTACTTCCGGTTTCCGCCTTCCTTTTGCTAAGCAACGGAACAAAAATAAAGGCGGGGGAAGGAAAAGTAGCGTCGCCGGAAGTTTCACTCTTAAAGGGACCGGGCACTTTTCGCTCCCTCGTTCTCTATAAATACAGGCGGTCTTCGATTTACAATAGTTCCTTTAGTGACCGTTCAGCTTGCGTTCAGAAATCGTGGGCGCTCCATCACTGGAGGTTTTTAAGGAGAGACCGGACAGTCACTTGAACTGAGATTGTATAGGTTCTCCTGCTTGAGCTGGGGGCTGGACTAGAAGACCTCCAAGGTCCCTTCCAGCTCTATTCTAATTCTAATTGTTCAAAGTTACAAGGGCACTGAAAAAAAGTGACTTGTGACCATTTTTCACACTTATGGCAGTTGCAGCATCCCCATGGACATGTCATTTACATTAGGATACTTGACAACTGACTCGCATTTATGATGGTTTCAGTGTCCTGGAGTCCTTTTGCGACCTGCTTACATGCAAAGTCAATGGGAAGCCAGATTCATTGAACAACCATGTTACTAATTTAAGAGTTACCCTGATTCACTTAACAAACATGGCTAGAAAAGTTGTAAAATGGGGCAAAAATCACTTCGCAAATTTCTCACTTAGCAACATACAATTATATATATTTAACTCCTTGCTTGAATTAATGCTCCTTTGGGGTTTTCATTGGATTGCAGTTCATTATCTCAATCTTTCTGTGCAAAAGAATGATGCATTACATATGCAAGACAATATTGCTCCACCTTGGCAATTTTATTATGTATGGACTTCAACTCCCAGAATTCCTCATTCAGCATAGTTGAAGTCCGCCCATCTGAAATCGTAGAGAAGCAGTGATATAAGGTGCCATGCTATCTAAACAAGCTTCATTGGCATATGTTACATGGGCAACCATATAAATATAACTAACCACTTAAAAATGACCTAGATAACTGTTCCAAAAGTCAGAGAAAAATGCCTTCTTGAATTAATTAAAGAAGGCAGGGTACATACAAGAAAAATGAAGTAAAATATTAAGGTTCTTTGAAATTTATATTGCATGTAGCCTTTTCAATAAATAACCAAAATACCAGAAAATGACTAAAACCACATCCAGTTTGCCAGTTCCTAAAGGTTAGATCAAAGGAAAGATACTTCCTGTTAAAATACGGCAATAAGGAGTCTTTAATTACAGTCCACCAGGGGGGTATCAGCCTTAACATCTATCAACCTTCTGGGCAATTAACTTACCAGTCCACTCATCCAAAATGAGATGCAAAGCAAATA